TAGTGTGTTTCCTTCTCTGCAAACGTTCTGCGATGCGGCAGGAATACAGAAGGAATCCTGACCCTGCAGGTGACACATTCACGGGACCGGATGTAGAAATCTGGTCATAGAAACATGTTGCAGTAAAACTCCAACTTATTTTCCAACTCACTAGAGCGCTTGAAAAATTAGTTCTGTTTTCTTTTTTTCCCCCCCTACTTAGTGGCGTGCTGCTCCCCAAATGTAAGTCAGAAGCAATCTGGACTCAGTAAAATTTTTAAAGAGGAGTATGATTTTTGCTTTATTACAGATTGCCAAGCCAAAAGATTGGAAAGTTTTTTTTTCCCCAAGAGGTAATTCAGGTGAAAACAGTAACTAATATGTGTTATAGACGGGTGGAAGGGCCCTGGCCACTTTCTTTAGTATTAGTAGTTTACCAAAATCCTCATGACTTATAGCTGTTGATAGGCTACTGTCAAACAGTGTGGAAGAATCTTGACCTGGAATGCTTGCTGATAAAGTAAGAAGAAACACAGTGTGGAACGTTCACTTGTGTTAATAATACTGGGCTGCGTAGGCAGAGACTATACACTAGAAGCTCACCAATATTAAAGGTGATTTACTCTGGGAGGTAAGTTATGGGTGACCTTTGTTTGTTTCCTTTGAAAACAAACATGAGTTTGTTTATTCTCCATGAGTTTTGTTTTAAGCATGCATTAACAGCAGCAGCACTAGACAATCAGGAGAGTACCACACAGTGTACAGAGCATTGAAACGTACTGCTGAGCTACAGTCTCCCAGCTGGTACATTGTGTCTTCTTTACTGCCCACTGTCCATTAACCTATGGTTGTCAGCCTTTTGTGCTTGTGACTCTAATCGAGAGGCCCAGCGTCTTAGTTCCTTCCACATATGGAAAGAGAATTAGTGATCAAGTACTTGTAGGCTTATTGAACTTACACAAAGAAAGGTTTGTTAAAGGTTCCACTTAAGTGCACGTTTTTTGTTGTGTGAAATTTTATTGGGGGTCGTATAACTCTAATCACAATCCATACATAAGTCCAATTTTTTTTCCTTTAAGCATCTCTGTGTATATGTGTATTGTAGATCTCTATTTAGCACCCAATCTGTACTAGATGCTATGCTTTAGGTGGGACACACACACACACACACACACACACACACACACACGGCAGTTCCTATGCCCAGGAAACATGCAGTCCTAAGAGTTTCAACGTTTTTGTTGTGCTTTGAAGTTTCAAGGTGATTTCATGTACGAGGGAGGTTTCAAAAAGTCCGTGGGAAAACGGAATGAAAAGGTAGTGGACTTTTCCCCACGGACACTTTGAAGCCCCTTTTGTGCTCGCCTCGCTCCTCTCACTCCCCCAGTAATCCAAGGAAGCTGTGTGTGCTTTGTTGTTCTCGTTGTAGAGGCGAAGAGACATCTGAGCAGCTGTGACGCAGACAGCATCAAACATAATTCTAGGTGGAAGACGCCATTCTCCAAGTCTGGTCTTCTGAACACGGGCTTTCTTGCTCCTGCCACTTCACCCTTTCCTGTCCGACTTGCAAAACACCTTTTTCAAATGTGTTCTTGACTAAGAAAATATTTGAGTATTATTCTTACATTGCATCTTTCTTGTATTGTCCAAGTAAATTAATGAGCCAAGGGTCTGAGAGTTATTATATGATCGCACACTTGAGCAATTAGCATTTAATTCTTTAAATTTTCACTGTACTCTATAGTGTAATTTTTAATTCCTGCCAAAATGGGCAGGGGCTGGTGGTGGTGGTGGTGGACCTTGGTGAAATGGTAGGTGGTGTCTCTGCAATGCTCATAAGAACACGGGAAAAATGTTTCTTTGAAATTTGTGGGGGGGGGGGGCCGCGGGGCGTGGTTTTCCAGACTCTTTGCTCACATGGACCATTCTTGTTGTTTGTTCCAGCCTGCCCAAACCAAGTGTCACTTGAGCCCCTCCATCCCAGCTCCGTTAACTGGAGTCTGCTCTGGTTAACTGGAAGGCATGCTTTCCTCCTGAAACTGACAGTTGTTCCATGTGAGCAAAGGGGCAGGTCAGCAGCACGCGTTCCCCGCGAGGCATCTGTGACAAGCTTAGAGCATGTCGGGGTGAAGTGGAAGGAAGAGCTAACAGGGACTGATGGTGCCTCAGCCCTTGCAGGGGTTTTCTATGTGCAAGACAAGGGAGCTGCCTGCTTTCTCCCGCTCTGTTAGCTTTCCTTAGCACTTCTACTTGAATGTGTTCTATCTACTTGTGCTCATTTTTACTCCTTCTGACTCTTCCTTTCTATTTCCCCTTTCTCTGCCTTGTTCTTCTCTTTCAGTTTTGAATGTACTAACACTGAATCAGCACTTCTAAAGCCCTGCCTCTCCCACTGGCTGCACTTGGCCTCCAGGCATAATGAGGAGACTGGCTTTTCGAGGCGCTGGTTGTGCTCTGGTAAAGCTGGTAAATTACTGATCATCTCTTCTCTCTCCCTTTGCTGTCCTTCCTTGCCTTTCCCTGCCACCTTTCTTCAATTTGTGTTGTCCTTTGCGTAAAGATTCCCTCGTGTTCATCACATTCCACCTGTGTCCTTGTTTGCAAAAGGTGGGTTCTTTGTTTCTCTGTCTGAATGAATTGAAGCCCGATTGCCAGCTTTTATAAAACGGACGAATCAGTCAAATGAGGCTGCCCTTTGCTCAAGTCCTTTGAAGATGGTTAGCCAGGTTTAGCCGACTGCCTACTGCACTGTGTAACAGACCCAAGTAGAGGAAAGCACCGTCATCAGGGTGGGTGCTTTTTAAACATGTATTCTGCAGTCTTGAAGAGACTCCGTATTTCTTACTTGTTTACCAGGTTTTTGTTGGTTTCACATGGTCCTGCTTTGCACCTCCCAGGAGACCCCCCCACCTCAAAGTCCCAGCCCCAGGCATTGTCTCCGTGCTGCCGGTAGCCAGGGTTCTGATGTGCCTGTGCTTTTGGCTGCGGCTGGCCCAGAGGAGTCGGATTATTCTTGAATGAAAATGGGATTAGAGTTTTCTTGCAGCTTTAGAAGAAGGTATTGATGCTGTTGGGGCAGATACCCCGTTCCTCTGCAGCAGGTCTTGACATTTGAAGTTGTATTTCTGTGTTCCAGCCAAATGCACACATTGTAACGTGGCATTGAGCCTAGTTGCACAGCAGGCAGCCTGAAACGGAGAACACAGGGAAATTGTCTTTAAAAAAGTAGAAGCCCACAGTTAAACAAGCGTACTAAGTGGATATGTGTTAGTAATCTGCATTGGTAGCAAGGTTCATTGTTCTGGCTGTGGAGAACTTAGCTCCAGCTCCCGAGCACCAAGTGTGTGGACACAGCACATGTCTCATTTTCTTTGCCTTCGTCTGCCTTGCTTGACACAAAATCATCTGTTTTATAAGTTTATTTTACTTGTGTAACTTCTATTTCCAATCTTGAAGATTGCGACAAAGACCTGTAATAAAGGCTATTCAATCTATTAATTTTGCCTTTATGATTTAGTGGTCTTAGAAGATATATCATTGTTTTAAAAAATTTTATTGCAGTAAAAGTCACACAAAATTAAGCTGCATTATTTCAATGGTGAGTCGGTGTCCTTCCAAGTCACTATGTTAGACTGGTAGTTTTAAAGCTAAACTGTCCTGTCTGTGTTGAACTCCTACCTGTGATTTTAGCAACCAGTATATTCGTGCATTCTTGATGTGTTTTGTGTGTGGCACCCTTTAGAGAGCCCCCACACTGCTGGTGCCTTTTGCCCTTCCTGAAGCCGTTTCTGGAATCCGGACGGGGTCAGACTGGAGGAAGACTTGAGTGCTTCTGGAAGAGCAGAAAGCTTACATCTGAGTTCCCTCCAAATTACCTGTTGGGACATCAAGCTAAGATTCCAACATTCCTGGGGCAGAGTACCTCACATAACTGAAAAAGAAGTCAGTTTCTTTCAGAAGAATTTCAGAACACAATTTTACTAGTGTGTACGGCAATCCTTGTGAAGTGTTTTTCAGGGATGTCTTGTGGTTCCTTTAATGAACTAAGGTACATTTTAAAATACTAGAAGGTGAAACGACCTCTGTCCCTTTTCACACTGCTCGTTTGCCCCCCGCACCACTTCTTACCCATTTCCACCTCAGAGCCCACCTTGGCGTAATCAGCACTCTGGAAAGCCCATGGGGCTACCAACTCTACAGGTGATTGGTGTGGGGCCTCTGTCCCCAAGGTCAGCCTGGTGAGACCAGTACCGAGTACCAGTGCATGTGGGCTGAGGAACTCATCCAGGGCAAATTTAGGGCCAGAAGTAATTGAATCATTCAAAATTGGCATTAGACACTTGCTGAATTTGTCCTCAGAAATGAAGCAGCGAGAGCCAGGGCTTCCCATGAAAAAGTCACACTTCTTTCCAAACTGGGTCAAATGCTGTCCTGAGTGAACCAGAGGTGTGTTTGGTGACAAATTTGGTGTTTGGTGAAATAGAAATTTCAATGTAAGAACATGTTCGACTGTTTCTTGTAGAAGAAGTTGGATTCCATGGGTTCCAAGAGGAGAAGAGCTACCTCCCCTTCTAGCAGTGTCAGCGGGGACTTTGATGACGGGCACCATTCTGTGTCTACACCAGGCCCAAGCAGGAAAAGGAGGAGGCTTTCCAACCTTCCGACTGTAGACCCCGTGAGTAACTTGGAGGGTCCCACTGCTGCTGCTTGCTTTTCCACAATTCCTCTGCCCTTCCTTGAATGGTCGTGGTTAAAAAGGCAAACCCCGAACCAAACAGACTGCCAGGAAGTTAGTTCTGACTCACCAGGGCCGTACAGGGCAGGGTGGAACTGCCCCTGTGGGTTTCCCAGACTGCGACTGCACATGGGAGTAGAAAGCCTCCTCTTTCCCTTTGCAGAGCAGCTGGTGCATTCAAACCGCTTACCTTGCAATTAGCGCCGAACCCAATGTCATCAGGGTCTCTAATTCCTTTCCCCCTTGCTTGTATGAAAAACATATTCAGCCAAAATTACAGTAATGGTATATTTTCATATTTCATATTTTCAAATGAATAAGAATAATAGACATCGTGTAGTCATTCAACAAATAACTTTGTGTTTCTCTTATGTCAAGTACTGTTCTGGTGGTTAGAATTTAGCGGTGTGAGATGAACTCATTTTTCACGTGGTGTTTAGGTTATAGTGTCGGGGAAGAAGAGTATAAACAAGTGAATATTTTCAGCTAGGAATGCGTGCCAGGAGGACGAGTTTGGATGATTAGGTTAGTGCCTGCAGGAAAGACCTCTGTGTTCACAGCAACCCTGCAGAGCCCTGGAGGAGAGTTTCCTACTGAGGGAGGACTCGGTGTAGACAGGTTGGGTCAGGGACAGGTGTGGTGTGCATGGTTGCAGAGAGGGGGAGACTGGCCAGAGTATGGAGGGCCTTCTTAACCATTGTTACAGGTTACAGATTATTCTCCATGTAGGCTTTCTATCAGATGATGTTAAGCAAGAGGTGGCTATGAACTGATTAACTTAAAAGAGAAAAAAAATAAATAAACAACAATCACATGAATTTGATGAAAGTTACCTATTAGATCATTAGGTTACAACACTCACAAAAAGCTACCATCAAGTTGATTCCAGCTTAACAGAGACTCTGCATTATATTAGATTGTTTTAAATTCAGGGGGTCCCTGTGTGGAAAGGTGGGGTTTTTTGTTTTTCATCTGCCCTTTGTCTTTTCCATTTGCCTTTGGTGGGTGTTTTTAATGAGTAGTAGGTAATCCTTATGTCTGTGCTGGCTTTCTGGTCACTGGCGGTTTTTCTCCTCTCTGGTGCCTAGATCGCTGTGTGTCATGAACTCTACAACACCATCCGAGACTATAAAGATGAGCAGGGCCGGCTCCTCTGTGAACTCTTCATTAGGGCACCAAAGCGACGGTGAGGTGGACACACTCCCGGGCTGTGGAGGGAACTGGGCCTGGCTCCCTGTGTCGAGTGTTTGATAATTGAGTTTTCTTATGGGAGGAGTGGGTTCCATAATGATTCGGGTGCTGAGATTTTTTTAGTCCTTAAGCAGTCAGAGTCTAGTGAAGCGTGTTTTTAAAATTACTGATGGAAGAAAGTGGTAGCACTGTTCCCCTCATAAGTTGACAGTGGTCTGCCGCAGTGCTGCTTTGCACCTGGCTTGCCCTTGCCCTTGTCCTTGCCTTCTGGGTTCCAACCAGGTAAAGCAAACTGCCTTTATCCTCTTCGCACCTGGACACACGATCTTACGGGGGCTAGACTCCCCTCACTAGCAAAGAATGCCTATATTCCTTTCAAAACCCTGGCAATTGAGTCATTTATTCTAAAAACACCCATGAGTGTGGTAGGCAGGATCTTGGCCTCTGCTCCTTGGAGCCTGTAACTGTGTTAGATTGCATGGACAGGGAGTTCAGGTTGCTAATCAGAATACCTGTAGCTGGGGGATACTATGCTGGAGGAGCCATGTAGGCTCAGTGCAGCCCCTCGAAACTACTGCCATTGAGTGAATTCTGACGCACACTGAGCCTGTGGGACAGAGCAGAGCTGCCCCGTGAGCTTTCCAAGTCTGTCAGTCTTGCAGACTTCCTCAGCTGTCTTCCAGGGATCAGCCGCTGGATTTGAACTTTCTGTGAGCAGCCTGATAATTAACCAAGTTTGTCGCCCCATCTTACTATCTGAGAAGGGAGATTCAAATAGGGAAGGGCAGGAAACTAGAGTGAATGCCAACGGGTTGGATCGGAATTGGTGTTGTTTGTGTGAATTCATGGTGTCCAGCGTGTGTACATTTCCTACCTCTGTCCACGGAGACAGCTTTGGAACAGCAATGTCCCAGTCGAAATGAGTACATCTAACACCTGGACCTTATGTGTAAACCATTCACCACTAACAGCAGCCAGAGTGACTTGGGAACTAGTTGATTTCAAAGGCTGCGCCAGGCAAAACGAATGCATTACCTTGTGCGACGCCAGAAGAGAAGAGCTCGGTACGGTGGAAGTAACGTCTCAGAGCATAGAACAGCGTGAAAGGCCTGCAACTGGCCAGCCCTGGGATGTTTTGAGCAGCACAATAACTAGTAATAAAATTGAATCCATGAGTCTATTCTGCTGTAAATTTTAAAGTTGGTAAATTGAAAGCTTGAGGAATGGGTTTTCTATAGTCCATTCTCCATTAAGTACAAAGAGAAAAGGAGAAACGTGGTTAATAGCGTAACCTGGCAGATACCATCATAGTCAAAGTTAACCTCATCTAAGTAGTGGGCCAACTTAGAGTCGAGAGCCACCTGGCAGGGTGCAGTGAAGAATGCAGTATTCTTTCCTGTGAGAGTGCTGCCAAGGACGCTCACTGGAATTAATTTTTGAGGAGCACAGAGTTGAAATCGACTCAGTGGCAGTGAGTTATTTTGAGTGTTTGAGATACTTATTTTGAAAAAGAGAAAGGGCATTTTTAGAAATTTTTTTATTTCTAATTAGAGTCAGGTGGCAGTCATTTGGAATGTTGAATATTACCATGTACCACAGATAATTTTGAAATTGAGTTTTTTATAAGCTTTGGATTAATGCCATCTAAAAACACACATGTATGTTTAAATAAAAACAGAAATCAGCCAGACTATTATGAAGTGGTTTCCCAGCCCATTGACTTGATGAAAATCCAGCAGAAACTGAAAATGGAGGAGTATGATGATGTTAACCTGCTGACGACAGACTTCCAGCTGCTTTTTAACAACGCCAAGGCTTATTATAAGGTAAGAGCACCACACTGGATAGTGCCTGACTGGCTTGCTTCTCCATCTGGTCGGTGAGCAGTGGTCTTTCTCACTGTGATTTCACTTGTGATGTTACCTATTCTTACTACTTCTGTGAAGAGAAGGCTCATTTCTTTCTCGCGGTGGGGTTGGGGTTGGTCTCACAGAGTGTAGGAATTTAGGTATTCCTGACCCTAACTCTCCCTGGGGTATGTGTACAGCAACCAGCTTCTCCCACGGGGATTGTCTTTGCACAAGTTGTTGTAGAGGGAGTGTCTTGAGGAACCGATTTCTTATTTGGATAAACAAATGTAAGAGTCTCTTTATAGATTATCCTTTTGTGTGTTTCAGAAATCCTTCTAAGCCAAAGTTTATGCAAATACTCTTCTTTTACATTTTCTTCTAAACGTTTCATAGTTTTAAGTCTTCAGTGCAGCTGTGCTTGATTTTTGTGGCTTCTGTGTGGCAGGGGTCTGTCACCAGAGCCTCAGCTTTTTCCCCCGTTTCTTTGCTCACATGTCACACTGTCAGCGCTCTCACTTTGTTTCCAGGAGTTCGGGGTTCTGTTTCTGGGCCTTTAATTCTGTTCCTCTGGCTAGTTTATCAATTTGTGGACCACTCTATTTTGGTTTTCTAACATTACATTAAATATCATTCCTGGTACGAAGATGCAGACATGATTCAGTTCCTGCCCCTTATTCTACACGAACAGAAATCTTCACATAAGAATTCAGTAGTTCAAAAATGGAAATCTTATCAGAACAATCATCAGATTCTATCCTTTATATCTTTAGTCTTTAAATTGTCTGTCTGAGTGTTTTCGATTCTGGCTCATAAGGACCCTAAAGTACAGAGTCGAGCTACCCCTTTGAGTTTCCAAAATCTTTACACGAGCAGATAACCTTATCTTTCTCCCTCAGAGCAACTGGTGGTTTTGAACTGCCAACCTTATAAGGTCATAGCCCAAGCGATAACTCACTATGCCACCAAGGCTCCTGTTTCATTAATAATTCACCTTAATTTAGGAAACCATTTATCTCTGCCTCAAGTCTTCCTGCAGTGAGAAAGAGCATAAGTAAATAATGTTATTTCAGAATTCTGTTACAACACAGTTTTTCAGGAGGAGGATTGAAAGCCACGGATCCTTCAGTAGTATGCTGTTGGGTCTTTTCAAACTCCTATACGACAGAATGGAAGTGCCTTCAAGGGTGTCGTCTTTATGGAAGCAGATCACGGGTCCTTTCTCCTGCAGAGCCACTGCGAAGGTTTGAATGGCCAGCTTTTCAGTTAACAACTGATTGCTTAACCATTGCACCACCTTCAACACAGAGATGATTGGATTTGAACCTGAGTTTTCAAAACTATGTCTTGTCTTCAAAACTATACAAGTCTCTGCTGGACTAGGGTCCTTAAAAAATAACGACAATTGATACACGTACAAATACTAAAGTTTTTTTTTTTTTCTTATCCTCTTTGCCATCATATAGCCAGATTCTCCTGAGTATAAAGCTGCTTGCAAACTCTGGGATTTGTACCTTCGAACGAGAAATGAGTTTGTTCAGAAAGGAGAAGCAGATGATGACGATGATGATGAAGATGGGCAAGACAATCAAGGGACAGTGACCGATGGGGTCAGTGTTCGGCTGCAATGGGTACTGGGTGCCCTTTCTGTGGGGTGGGCAGCTGGGCTTCCTGGGTAGTTGTATTTGGAATTGGAAGAGGCAACAGACATGTGGCCACAGACTCCCACGCCAGTTTGAAGAAGCCTAGGACAATATGTGTGTGTGTGTGGGGGGGGAGATTCATGAATTCCTCTTAGACTGTGCTTTGATGGCTCACTTTCAAAGAGAATCTTCATTTTATCAAGGACTAGTCCACTATTGCGAGTGTAAGACATCATGTAGAGAATGTGGTGGTGGAAAGTCGGAGAGGCAGTCAACTCTCCCGAGGTAGGAATCTGTGTGTAGGTTACACTGGTCATTGTCTCTACCACATGCCTGGTGTCTTCCTGCCTCTGGGACGTGGCACTTGCTCGTGCCTCCATGTAGAACATGCTTTCTTTGGTTCTTCTGGCTGACGCTTTCGTATTGTGATTTTAGGGGTTTTTTATTTGAGAAGCTATTTGATAGTCACCATTTGTTTTGGGGTTTCTCTTTTTTGTTTGTTTTGTTGTTTTTTTCTTTTAGGGGGGTTCTCTTACAAAGCACTTTCTGTTTTCTCTTTGCTTCAACTTTACTCTTTCCCCCCAGTCTTCTCCAAGTTACTTGAAGGAGGTCCTGGAGCAGCTTCTTGAAGCCATCGTTGTAGCCACAAATCCATCAGGACATCTCATTAGCGAGCTTTTTCAGAAACTGCCTTCTAAAGTGGTAAGTGATGTGATTAAAGACAGGTGATTAACAATTCTGTGCTTGGGGTTTGTTTTTGTGTGTGTGCTTTCTCCGTTTTATGAGTTCTAATAAGTAGAATCAGGTTTAAGGAATGAATGTATTGGAGACAGCCAAAAGGTCCTTGTGACAACACACACAAAGGATATGTTCGTTTGTTAACATCTTGGCGTTCCGTAATTCATGACATCTCTCATGGTTGTGGTTGCTGGCATCGCTTAGCCATCATTCTGGAGGGTTCTTCCCACTTGCGGTTGCCATTGGCTGATGAACGTAAATTGGCAGGTCAGCTGACAGGCCACCTGTTCACAAAGTGTGGAAACTGGCGAGTTGGGCCACATGGTAGGCTGCTGACTCAGACCCCAAGAACAAGAGAACCAAGACAAGCCAGAGTATCATCCAGACCAAGGGGGAACTACGTGGACCTCACCCCAGAGAAACCAACCAAGGCCGGGGACTGAGTCAAGACACACCCCACACTCTTCCTGCCATATTAACAACAAAATGAACAGCTTGCTCCAAACGGATCACCAGCATTAGCATAGCAGTGAAGATTTAGAACACGGCACAGACAGAGCATATTAAACACAGACAGCAAGAAGGGCCAGCTCAATGAGTCACACTGTTTCCTCTAACCCTCAGCCACCGACCGAAGTTGTCAGGTGCTGTGGTGTCCATTCTCACTCACAAAGGCCGTGTGGCAGTAGAACTGGCCATAGGGGGTTTTGTTTGTGTTAAGCTCACCTTAAATTTGTGTACTTGTATTCTCATAAGACTTTGATTTCCTCGAAGAGCTTATTCTTTTTTTATCATTTCATTGTGGCTTGCGTTTAAGTGTGCAGAGAAAATTAGTATTCCGTTCAACAATTTATACGCATTTTGTTTTGTGATATTTGTTGCAAGCCCCTCGGTTTAACAGCATCGTCCCTTTTCCCTAGGTTTCCATTCGCCCATCTTTTCTCCTTCTTCCTGCCTGTGGACTTTGTTTTTTGGGTTTTTTTGCAAATGTTGCTCTTTTGGCCTCCTGTGGTTGCTTCTTCTGAGGAGCACATTCCTCACAGGTGTTAGCCTTCACTCTGTAGGCCTCCC